CCTGTCATTCCATGTGTCAGGATTCTGCAATAGTAGTTTTAACATACACAAATCAAGATGCAGCTGTTGAGTGTGCAGTGCTTATTTAGGGGACACTGAAAATGTGATGCAACTGCTGGCAGTTCCCCCGAAACAAGTGTTGGAAATACAGAGACGCACAGGATCATTCAGTCCTTCCCAGGTAAGAACAAGCCAGGCCACACTTTCTAAAGGAAAACCTTAGTTCAATCTGCTTCCTTTGATCACAATATAGAAATAATAGAAATGGTCCTGGTTTGCCAGAAAGAAAGGGGAAAAAAAGAAAAAGAAAAGCCTGCTGATGAATAAATAAACGTAACTTTTACAACCAGAGGAGAAATGTTATACCTGAGATGATGCCATCATATTCGTGGGTTACTATAATTCATAGCTTTTAAAACACAAATAATCTAACAACTTATTTTTCCAGTTTTGTAAAATTAAAGTGCACGTTTACTGGCTTAAAACAGCCATATCTGAGTTAATCATACTCAGAGGCCAAACAAAATATAAACAATAAAAAATGTGTCAGCCAAAGAGCCACGGGGCTGTGTCCAATCACTGAGTGCCCCTTATCATTGTCTTCATCTTCATTCACACTGTATGAATGCCGCAGTCTTTTGAATCACAATGGTTTCTAATTGTCATACAATTGAAATCTTAATTATTTGTTCATTATAAAAATGCATCATCATAACATTAGATTAAAAAAAAAACTTAAACAACCAAACTAAGCATTTCTGTTACGGTTTTATGACAATGTCAAAGAATAATTTCAATTACCAATCTAGATTCTCACTCTTGAAAGTTGAAGTAAACTGTCCCACAACTTTCAGGGCTTAATTAACTGCTGCAAATAACAGTTCCGGACTAGGCTATTTAATTCATCAGTTGGTGAGTTCGTTGGGCAATCATGAAAGGATAAAAGCGCGCCCAGGTAAGTCGCACGGTCTAACCACTTTTTCATTTGACCATCTGATTAAAAGGGATAGAAACTGGTTTTTGGTTTTTAGGTATAAAGACGGTGTTTTACCTCCTAACATTCTTCCTTAGGTTTTAGGGCAATTTTCAAAGTTAAAAAAAATAAAATAAAATAAATAAACCTCACTTTTCTGATATTACTTGGGAGTTATGTGCAAATTTCGCCAAATGAACAAGTCTGACTTTCATAAAATAAGTATGTCCTAAAACTTCTAAGCATTCACGAAAACCATCTAAACTCTTGTCAGCTTAAAGAACGCCTCTGAGGTGAGATCTCTGAAACCCCAAAGTGCGAGTCACTGCAGAACAGAACAGGACTTTAGGTCCCCAAATACGCAAAGGAATAGGTCCCTGGGACCACCACCTCGAACTAGTAGCGTTACCCGCCCACTGCGGGCACCAGAGTCCCGGGGCGCTCAGTCTACCCTCAGCCGCTCGCCCAAGATCCCCTCCGCAGCCGTTCCCAAGCCCCGCGAGCACCGGCCGGGGAGTGGGGTACCGCCAGCGCTGCAGCGGGCTCCCGGGAGCCCCTCGGGGGTCCAGGGCCTCCAGTCCCGTCCCCGCCCGCCCCAGCAGCCTCGCCCGCCCAGGCCAGCTCTCCCCGCCTCGGCGCGGGGCAGGGCGCGCGCGGCGGCCGGAGTCCCAGGCCGCCCGCACAGCCACCGCAACTCCGCGCCACTTCTCCCGGGGAGACCTGGCTGTGCGGGGGTCAGGGAAAGCCGTGGAGGGTCTGCCGCACGCACGCGAGCAAGGACACACAACAAAGGCGTCTGGGGCCAGAGGAGAAGCTCGAGAAAGCCACGGAGACAAGTACCTGAGTGAGACAGATGGGAGAATACATCATGACTTCGCCTTAAAACGCACTTTCCCGGAGATGCCCAAGAAAATCTTCGAGAAGCAAGGATTTCATCTATTCATTTTACAGTCATCTGAGCGCAGCGACGCGATCAATCAGGACGGGGCTCTGCGCTGGATCTCCGCAACTTCGCAACAAACCCAGTCCTCCTTAAATAGCCAAAGATTCAAGTTCACTCGGCGTGCTAGATTTCCCGGGGTGAAATCCAATCTACACTTTTAACCCTCTTGCGGTCCGCGTGCGCCGGCCGAGCTCTCCGAAGCCGCCGCTGGTGCAGGCTGCTGGTCGCCCGGTTTGGGAGATTTGTTTTCTGTTTTGCAGTTGTTGTTGTTGTTGTTGTTGTGGAATTGGGGTGCGAGAGGGTTCGGTGTGGGTTGGATTGGGGTGGTGGTGGGTGGTGAAATGCTTTTTTAAAAAAGGCGGGGAAGGGGGCGCAGGAGGCCGGGCGGCAGGGAGAGCGAGGAGAATGTGTCACCGCGCTGGGAAAGTTCAAGGTTACCGCCGCCAACACTGCAGCAGGATCCGGGAGTGGCGACCGCGGGCGAAACTTTGCCGCGAGCCGACCATGTGTGTGCTGGAGGGGGAGCGCGAGCGAGTGCGCGCGGGTGGCGGGGCGCGCGCGGAGAGGGCTGGGTGGGGGCGGGGAGGGGGGCAGGGAGAGGCCGGGGTGAGGGAGGGGGCGCGAGCGCGGAGCTCCGGGGCGGGCGGAGAAGGCTTCGCTGCGCTCCTGCCCGGCCGCGCCGCCGCCCGCCCGCCGCGCCCCACGTCTGACCCGCCGAGCGCGGCCGCCGCCGCCGGTGCCGCTGCCCACAGCCCGCGGAAGGGATCGGAAGGACCTCCTGAAAAAAAATCCCAAATGATCGATCCCGCTTGGCTGCAAACTCCTCTGTTCTGTTCTGGGCGCTTTTTCCCCCTCCCTCTCTAGCTTTCTTTCCTTGAAAAACTTGCAAGTTGAAAGATTCACCGGTTCCACCCTCTGGACCCCGCTGGAGCTCTCTCCAAATCAGACTTAAGGATTGTTTTATTATTTAATTACACAATCACCGCTTTACTCCTCCTCCTGCAAACGCGCGTTCCTTTTGCACCAGCCTCTCCACACCCCCCGCCCCCCACCTTCCTCCTCCTCCTCCCGCGCGCCTCCCCCAGCCCTCTCCTCTCTCCCCCTCATTTGTTAAAGGTATCAGACCGGTGCTACAGTACTGGGACTTTTTTTTTTCTTTTTCTTTTTCAAAAATAGCTCTTCTCTCTGTCACCCTTCGTACACCCCCTACCCCCTGAAAACCCGACCAGGGAGAGGTATTTCACTGTCCGCTGCAGACGCTCAAGCCACGAGAACATCCTAAAGGAAGAAGCCCTGAGCCGGTCTGGGCCCGAGAAAGAAACCAATGGAAAATTCCCTCACACCCAGGCCGCCCCGAGCTGGGGCTGGGGCGCAGACTCTGGCACCCCAGGCGGTGGAGGGAGAGGGCGGAGGCGGGGGCCGGAGTGAACTTGGCCTCCCGCGGTGGGAGCGGACCGGCGCGGAGCTGGGGGCGCGGCGGGCGCGGGAGAGCGGGGAGGGGCGGCGGGGTCCCCCGGGCCTCGCCGCGGCGGCCCGCCCTCCCCCGGCGCCCGGTGCACGTGGCCGCGCTCGGAGCGGGAAGGCCGTGCAGCCGCCACCGCTCGCCCCTCCTCCCCCTCCTTCTCCTCCTCCTCCTCCTGCCGCGCTGGCCGCGTCCCAATCCCCACCCCCAGGGCCCGGGGCGCCGGCGGAAAGCGGCTCCCTTCCCGCGGGGGTGCGGGCAGGGCGGGGCCGCGGCGCGCCCGGGCTGCTGGGCGGGAGCGCGCCGGGTGCGTGTGCGGCTGCGGCCCTCCGGGGCGCTCCCGCCGGCGCCCCGCCCCCCGCCGAGTGAATGAACTTGATTCCCGGGATCGGGGAGGCGGCCAGCCCGCACCCCCGTCCGCGCGGGCAGTCTCTCCCACACGCCGCCCCCCAAATTCCGGGTTTCCGCTAGGGGTGGGTGGGGAAGTGGAGGAATCAAAGGCTGCCCAGACAATGGGGAGAGAAAAGTGAGCGCCCGGGGCTCCGCGTCGACCCAGCTTGGGGCCCGCCGAGCGTTTCCAGGCCCCCCGCGGCCTCCCGCTCCCACCCAGTGCCCTGTACTTTCCCCCTCAACTTTCTCCGGTCCTTGCGCTCCTGACCACCGTGCCCTCCCCCGGCGGACCTGAAAGAACCATTGACTTTTTCCTTCCCCAAGTGGAAGTTACCCACATCAAGCATTTCACAACGACACATCAAGAAAAGTAGGCAGGTTCAAGTCAACCATGAAATGGTCACTTTTTAACCCCGTCCTGTCCTCATTAGGGAAATGCTCAAACACAGTCCGTTTTCAAAAAGCGCTCTTAATGAGGCGAGCTTGCCAAGTCTACCAGCTGCAGCCCCTGTAAACCAAGAGCCCGGTGAAGAAAGGCGCAGGGGGTGGGGAGGCGAGGAGGCGGGGAGGGCCGTGGTCTGGGAGCACAGGTAAAGTCGGGGAAACTGTGAGAACCGGGGCCAGTTAACCCTTTAGGGCACGCGCCGCGGGGTGCGTCCTCCCAGCTCCCCCTCTAGGCAAATCCTCTAGTTAGCGTTCTGACAACGTTAATTTCCTTTGTACCGGTCATTTCTTCTTGAAAAACTGGGATAAAGTTGGCAGTCTTTATAGATGAAAGGAGGTGACAGTCGGGGTTAATCCAAATAAATACTTCTCTCTCAAAAATTTTAGGCAACCTCATCTTAACTTTTAAAAGAAAGAGAGGGAAAAAAAGAAAGAAAGAGAGACGAACAATCCCAAAGCATCACTTTGTGCTAAGCTGCATCCCTTTTCTCACCCTCACCAGATCCTGCGGGAGGGGGCGGGGACGCGCCACTGATAATACCAGCTTTAACTACTGGAGTTTCCCTTTGAACAAATATTCAATTTAACTGGAGTTAATTTACCATAAAAGACATTCCCCTTGGCACGAATGGACTCATGTCCTTGAACACACCTCTTTGAATGCCTGGACTCTTACAGAAGCCATTATTTCGGGGTCTCTTTAAAAATCCAGCGCCCATCTCTCTGCTTCCCTCCCTTCCTCCCTTCCTCCCTCCCTCCCTCCTCACTACACCACCCCCAGCGAAATCCTGGCACCCAGAGAGCACTCTTTTCAGCCAGAGCCCAGAAACAGCCCTTGTCCCCTGGCAAAAGAGGCCCAGTGCTGGGCCCTGGGCAAATGTCTCCAGACATCCCTACCTTTCCTCCTTTTATTAGTCTCCTTCCCCCACAGAACCCATTTCCTTTTGCCACTAAAACTAGGTTGCATCCAAAAGTTTCTCACAAGCTTAAAAAAGAAAAATGAAAAATTGACATCATTATACAGAAGAATTCACAAAAGCTGCAGAGCTCCAGGGCAGAGAAGCAGCGACAGACACAGGTAAGAACCCAGAGAACCCAAAATTCAAGGCCTCCCAGGCCCATCCCTGAGAGGCTGGGCTCTCTTTCAGGTGTCCCATGTCTGTGTTTGTACAGTGCTGATGGCTGTGGTACATGCTGATAGCCATAGGGGATGCTTTGTAGTTTGGGGTTTTGGTTTGTTTCCAAGAGAAAAGAAATGAAAGAAGAAATAACAGTGAAGTGAGGAAAACCAAAAAGGAGTGAAGAATGAACAAAAGATATCCGGGAAAGAAGGGCTTAGGGAAGCCCTTGTTGGCTGTGGAAGGCTTTGACTTTCAGACCTTGGAGTCAGATTCAGGAGGCTGGCACCTCATGGGCCCAGACTCTTGCTGCTCAGGCCACTGTAGGCCTTCCCAGGAAGACCCCTAGGAGAATGCTCTTGGGACCTATGAGCTCCTGGGACCTCCGATTTCTCTGGCTTCCCTCAGCACTTGTCAGCACCCCCTGGCTTTGAGAAACACCAGTCTTTTCAAATCCAAGTAGAAGGATAGAAAAGATGGGTTGTAAAGTATGTATGTTTTATAAAGGCAGGTTTCACATCGCTCTGAAAAGTTTCTGATGCTGTCAAAATGGCCCCAAACCCCCAGACTTTGGCCCTTGCCTCTCCTAACCCTCCTGTTATTCCTTTCTTGCACTGGGGGCTAGGAAATGCCACCAACATTAATCTCAAAACCTGCCTATGAACTATTCTCTCAGCAACAGGGAGATCTGTAGCCATATGATCTTCTTGGACTATTCTCTGCTGCCGCATTAGGGAAAGGTGTCTTTTTAGACAGAAAGTTTATTGATTGCTAAAAGAAAAGTCAGGGTTTCTCATGGGTTTTCAAAACCTAACTATGTATTTAAAAATACACATTGCTACCCAGTTAGGAGTCTCTCTGACCTCTAGAGAAGAGTTTGGTATCTCCTGATAGTGATTTCTTTGTTTTGTTTCTTTAATCTTTCTTCTTTTTTAAAGAAACTGCAGAGACAGATTGCAAAGCCTGGGCAACTTCAAGTAAGGTTTCCCCGAGCTTAACAGAGCTGTCATTTTCAATGCACACCACTACTTTTATTTTTTTATCTCTTGCATGTGATTTTCTGGGAGGTTCAACAATTCCCCTAGCTGCATGGCCAGTATCAATGTTTAAAAACTAAATACAAAAGAGACAGGTGACCTTATGACCCCGGGAAGCAAGCTTGCAGAACTGCAGGTGTCCACTGTGGCCTATCCAGGGACCTTTCCTCCAAGTATGGCCTGGAAAACATAGATTTATATCCAGCAGTTACAACACCAAAACCCTCCCCCCCCAAAAAAAAATGCATATATAAACAGTCAGCAAGTGCTAAGACTGCCTGTTCATGATGGGAACTGCAGGATCACGCCCGGCTCTCGGAGCCTTTAAACTACTACTGTCAAATTAGGGGAGCAATTTTTCCCCACTGGAGAATTCACAACTGCTTGGTTTCCCCACCTACTGCCAGGCCTTTGCTTTTCAACTGAAATGAATAAATAACCTTGGACTTCTCTTCCCTCCTCCGGGAGCAGTTTGGTCTCCCCTGAGGACAAAACTAAATGAGAAAAAATGACGCTGTTAATAATGCCGCTGCTGAAATGCCTGTACTTAACTATTAAAAAGAAATCCCTCTAAGCATGTCTGCATCCGGGGCACAGTTGCAGTCTACAGCTCTGAATGTGAACAAGGACCAGTCCAGAGGCCTCCATGAAGGTTCACTGGTTACAGTTTCTCTACAGAGACAAATCCAGTTCAGCAAGAGATTCCCAACTTTGAAAATATTTGCTCCAGGGCTACAGAGTCAGCCGCTGGCCTGCAACTTTTGTCTGATTTATTTTGAACCTCCAAATATTCTGTCACAGTCGCCTGGCTTTGTGCACAGCACTGCAGAGGTTACAGACATACACGGTGGTGAATTCTCAGCTGATGCTGCCGCCTCGAGCTTTCCAAAATAGATCACCTTTAAAGTAAAACCATCAGTGTCTGGCAGGGGAAACTCGCGGCTCATCTACACGTAAGCTGTGACCTGTGAAGACTGACATTCAGAAAGGTCTGTCTAAAACACCCAGGTAGTCTTTACACTGCAGTATTAGAGGTGGCCACAGGCCATCTTAAACCTCCACTGCCCTTTCTCTAGTTCTCTTTTGAAAAGCTGCTGCTCTGTTTCAAAATCAAAATAATGTACAGAAGGGGATCTTCCCACTTAAGTTTCTAATGAAAAGGTAAGAAGCAAAAAGAAAACAAATAACTGGGCCTAAACAAAATATATATTCAGAAAGAAAATCTCTGTATGTATCTGAACCATTTTAAAAACACAAGCTAATAAATTTGAAAGCAACGAGTACCGTCAAATTGATGATATCACGTGAGTCCAAAAACAAAGTTACAGATGTGTGTGATATCACTTCCACTCAAAATTATTCTGCAGCTCAGTCTGACCATATTAAAACTAAATGGATGCTTATGCCCGTCTAAAGAATAAAAGGAATTTACTCTGCACATCAAACAATGAATCTGTCACCATTTATTGTATGAAACACTCAGCTAATCAATTTCCTGTTAAAATAGCTTTCAACAATACTCAGCTTTAAAATTCATCAGGGCCAGTAAAAACCTTTGCCCAGTGCACAAGAATGCAGCTCTGACCACGGACGGTAATTACCATTCTAATACTTTTATTGCCCAAGCGCTTTTTCCTGTGCTCCCCATCACTAGGCAGTATATTGTATCAGTGAGTTGGAGTGTTTGACCTTTGACCACATATGATTTAATAGGGACTTTTCAGCGCTGGCGCTCTCTCCATCCCTCATACCATTAAATAAAAACATTAAACCTCAAATGTAAAACTGGAAACCACAACGTTTTTGCGTTTCACAACCCTGTGCAGTTTTTACTTAAGCTGCTCAAAGGTCAGCCTCTTAGGCTCACAACACGCTTCCCAGTACAGTAAATGCACCGGGAAGTCACTCATTCTGATTTTGATTAAATCTCCAAACCCTCCTCCCGAGCACACATGCACCCCGCTTATTTACACGCGCATTCTTTCTAACCGCAGAAGCATGCGTGTATGACTTTCTGGACTTATTCCACTTTAGGGCTGATTTAAATGTCTGTTCAAATATGGGTTCAAAAGTTAACGCCCCCCCACACTCCCGTTGGAAGTTATAGTTACAAAGGAGGGAGCTATAAGACCCGTTCAAAGAAAGTCAGTTAATCTTGTGTATTTTGGCGCCTTTTCCCTGCCAGCTACTGAACTTGAGGGGGTAAGGAAAACCTGGAGATCTTGTCTGTCCTGTCTCAAGTTCAATGGCAGTTCTTCCGACCAGGAGAGGAAGATGGCCATGTTCACAGCCCTAATAATAATTCAGATCACGCCACCTCGGCATCTTGTGTCAAAGTCGAAACTGGCTTCCCCGCCCCCTCCAACCTGAAAGCTGCCAAGTCTTCACACACTCCGCATTCAACCACAACTTAATGGATGGGATATTGTGCATTAAAATGTGTCCCAGACTCACTGTTGAAGAGGACAAGGGAGAAGGCAGACGCGCAGACAAGCACACACAGATTTAGGCAGAGGGGGATCTTAGGCTAGCGCAGAAACCAGTGGGGTGGGAAAATGACGCATTAACAGGAGCAGGAAGAAATCCATCATAATCCTTTTTTTTTTTTTTTTTTTTTTTTTTTTTAAGAGTTGGGGCTGCTGGAGAGAGAAGGGCTAACAATGTTTTGCTGAAACAGAGTGTGGACGAGTGAACTAAAGTTTAGAACGACACCAATTTTAAAAGCTCTTAACACACCAAAGGGAGCTAAGTAAAACTTTTTTGCATTTGAAAACACATTTTAAATTAAGAATATGGAACAAAGTGGTTCCTTATGATGAAGGAATGTGCTTTTACTTAAAAAAAGAAAAAAAAAAAAAGGATGGGCTATATGGGCAACTAAGTATTATTTATATCCCCCCCTACATTAAAGGGAGAAGGGAAGAAAGTTGAGCCTGAACGGGGTGGGGGTCCTGGATCCCGCGACGTCTGGATTTAGTGGAATTCACTGATTCCCACCCTAAGAGCGTTAAAGCTGCCAACGCATAGAAAATACGTGTTTGTATCAGTTCTGAGAATGCAACAGCACCGTTCAATCTTTAAAGCAAAAATATGGCACCGAGAAAAGGAGTGAAACAGTGGCTTTACACACAGGGACAGGAAATAAGCGGTGTGCGCGGTGTTAAGGGGGAGGTTGCAAAGGACAAGCACGAAACGAGACAGTTCATTTCAAAGCCACATACCATCGCACGCACTACACAAAACAGATCTTGCGTCTGTACAGAACCCTGGGCCGCTGACTTCGTGTGTCTCAGGTAGACATTTGTGGTTGCTTTCGCGTCTCTTTTGTGTTTAGAGTTTTGAGGGATTTGGGGGGGAGGGGCTAGTTTTTGGTTTTTTCTTTTTTTTTTTTTTAAGCCATGCCGGCCTAGTCTGCTAGTGTTTAAAACTACTTCTGCACGCTCTTTGGCCCAAGCAGAGGAGCAGGCTAGGCTCCCCCGGGCGGAAGAGTCTCGGCCCGCTCCCGCAGGGTGTGCGTGCGTGCGTGTGTGCGTGCGTGCGTGCTCCGGGGCGCACGGTCTCGCGCGGGCCTCGCCGCGCTGGGATTGGCCTGGTCGCTCCGCCCGGGCTCCCGCCCCGCGCCCCGCCCCGCCCCGCCGGCCCTGGGCGCGGGAAGCCGCTCTTGGCTTCCGCCTGGCGGCGGGAAGGCGCGGGGGGCGGGGCCTTGCCGCGGGGGCGGGGCCTTGCCGCGGGGGGCGGGGCCGCCGGCTAGTGGAGTGGCGGATGCCGCCGGCCGCGCCGCTGGCTGCGGTTCCTTGTGGTTCCCCGCCACGTGGCCGGCTCTGCTGCTGCCCGGGCATCGCTGCCTCGGTGCAGACGGAGCCCGGGAGGCCCCTCGCTCCACGGCTTTTGCTTTCGAGCGCTCGAACTTGGATGTATACTTA